CGCCCCCTTCCCGGTCCTTCGCCCTCACCTGATTGCTCGCTGCCTGGCCGCACGCCCTGCTCCCCTGTCTTCCGCGGCTCCTTGGTGACATTTCGCCGCTCAGCCAGTTCCGGCTCCCCACGTTCTCTAACGCAGACGAAAGCCACTCAAGTACCGGAGTGGCCAACCCCGTGCCGTTCCCGATTCTCCCTCCTGCGGCTCTCACCCCTCCAGTGCCGACGGTAGAGAAAGACCTTGCTCCAGGGGCTTCCTCCTCCCGGGGGGATTGCCGGCAAGAGCAAACAGAAAAGGCGCTGGTGTGGGCTCCAAAATAAACACATCTGAATTCATGATGGCATCGACAGAGGCTCTTATTGGATTAAAAGTTTTCAAACAAACAAAAACGCTTTGGAAAAAGGTCAGATTGGCTAAAGTTGGTTCTTGAAAGCAGTGTATACACTTCCCTATTTACTGATAAGCGTGTTGTAATTGTGGGGCAAGACCGTGAGCTTGTCAAGATAAGTTCCAGAAGTTTCAGGTCCTAGATTCTAACTGTGTAATGTAATGCCTTATAAATTTAACATAAATAGAAACACATTGGGCTCAAGGCAGTGTCTTCCTACTGGGATTTATACAGACTGCTCTCAGCCGCTGAAGATTGATAGATGCAATTATAGGTTCAGTGTTTCAGCTATGAAAACTTTTTTTAATGTAAAAGGATTGGCCATACTTGGTAAATGCTTTGTTTTTTTTTAAAAACCAACTTTAAGGAACTAATTTTCAGAATCAAAGTATCACCCCCACCCTGAAATTCCCAACTTTGAATTGAAGTAGAGGCAGATATACCTACCCTTTCCAAATTCTGAGAGTGAACTTCAAGTCCTCTGCATCTTGATCGAGTCCTGTGGCACCTTTCCTAACCAAGAGTTTGTCTCAGTCCTAAACTCAAATCCTTTTTGTGAGGGCTGTGACTCTTAAGGTTAGAAATAATGGCTTGCATTCTTGTGGGATGTTAGTGGCTTGATACAATAATAAACATAACACACAACATGTAAAATATTAACAGGGATAATCAACCCATCTGTATAATTACATTTATTTTAAAAACTTCATTTCCTCCAAAAAAAGTTGTCACAGGATTTTATATTTCGTGTGTAAATACTTTATGATTAACACTTAAAAACTGTCACAACTGCTTTTTCCTTCTCTATTCTGTTGAACTTTGTTTTGATGTTGCATAGTTTATTAGCAAAGTATGAGCCTAGCTTGAATTTTTAGGAGTCACAATCACTTTTTGGATTTCACGGTATCTTCCTGTGAAACCTAAACTGAAAACCCTGTTGGTACTTTTCTAGATCTGAACATAAGGCAGGTCTCTCTCTTTACTGGGAGATTTTGAAATTTTACCAAATAATGTTTTTGAATAGGTCTGAATTGGAAAGCATGAGGGGAGGGAAATTATAATGATTAACAAGAACACGGTTTCGTCTTTCAGCAGGGTTGAATGCCTGCCTGCGCCCTCAGGCCCGACCATGGAGAAAGGTGGTAACATACAACTGGAGATCCCCGACTTCAGCAACTCTGTCCTGAGCCACCTAAACCAGCTGCGCATGCAGGGCCGGCTCTGTGATATTGTGGTCAACGTGCAAGGACAAGCTTTTCGGGCTCACAAGGTCGTGCTGGCCGCCAGCTCCCCCTATTTCCGGGATCACATGTCCTTGAATGAGATGAGTGCTGTCTCCATCTCAGTCATCAAGAACCCTACTGTTTTTGAACAGCTCCTGTCTTTCTGTTACACGGGGCGGATATGCTTGCAGCTGGCAGATATCATCAGCTACCTGACAGCTGCCAGTTTTCTGCAGATGCAGCATATCATAGACAAATGTACACAGATCCTGGAGGGCATTCATTTCAAAATTAACGTGGCCGAGGTTGAAGCAGAATTAAGTCAGACAAGGACAAAGCATCCCGAGAGACCTCCAGAGTCTCACAGGGTCACACCAACTCTAAACCGCTCCCTCAGCCCACGACATAACGCCCCCAAGGGAAGCCGGCGAGGTCAGGTCAGTGCTGTGCTGGATATCAGGGAGCTGAGTCCTCCCGAGGAGTCCACCAGCCCGCAGATAATTGAACAGAGTTCCGACGTGGAGAGCCGGGAGCCCATTCTTCGGATCAACCGAGCCGGGCAGTGGTACGTGGAGACGGGAGCAGCGGACCGAGGGGCGCGGAGTGATGATGAAGTGAGGGTTCTTGGAGCAGTGCACATCAAAACTGAAAATCTGGAGGAGTGGCTGGGGCCTGAGCATCAGCCTTCTGGAGAAGATGGGAGCAGCGCAGAGGAAGTCACAGCCATGGTGATTGACACCACGGGCCATGGTTCCGTAGCACAGGAAAATTACAGTTTAGGATCTTCCGGGGCCAAGGTGGCTCGGCCGACGAGCAGTGAAATTGACAGGTAAGTTTAGTCTCGGTTGCCCGTGTGGTGGCTGTTGTGCAGACGGCGCTGAAGCGAGCCCCCTGTGTGATGGGCATCTTCCTTACTTGATGTTCTTGGCCAAAATAAGTTGATGTTGGGGAAACTGGAGATGTGCCAAAAGACTTGCATTCTTATTTTTTTAAAGCGGAAGCTCCTAGTCCTGCAGTATTCAGTGCTGTGGGAACTATGGTAAAAGTTAGACAGACACGTCCATGAATCAGAATAGCATCTGCAGCCACAGTAGGATCAGTAGTTGCCAGGGCTTCCTCGGAACTCCAGGCAGGGGACTGATCATCAGCTGGGAACATGGCAGCTTTGCCCTTTTTCAATGTGTTATCGCACAGGTAGGTGGCCTCGAGGCATTTTACCTACCCTTGGAACACGGTTTACTTTTCTTTGCCCCCACCTATGAGATTAGAGGAAGTATGGTACCAACAGTGATTGTTCTTTTTAAATTAGTGTAGTCACAGTACAGTAATGCCAAAGAAAAGTTTTTTGGGTCTTTTTTATTCCTTTTGTCACTTGTCACTTGACGATGTCTTCCTCCCTGTTGTTTCACTGGTGACTGCTGCTACCACAAGCCTGAGAGTATTTTTTTAACCAGGGCTACTCCGCCCTATGCCTCCCGTTTCTCTTTCTCAGTACATTGCAGTTATTAGAACATTTCTTTTCAGTGGAAATAACAACAATTTTAATCTAAGTAAATCGAAAGTCTCAGTTGAAAGAAAGAAATATTACCAACTTAGATTGGTAATATTCTTTTCCTTCCTTAAAAATGAATTAAAATTACATGAACAATGAAAACTGAAAAAAACTACTGCTTTGGTTCACATCTGGTCTTAAGAGACATGTGTGTGACAGAAATTCAGAGTACGTGCTCTTTCCACGTCGGGTGGCCTGCATTTGGGCATTTTCCTTCTTGTGTCCTTAAGAGTTAAAACATTCTTGAGTGCAATACTTATTGTTCCCCTGTGTTAGCACTGTATCAGAATAGCTAAAATGCAAAGACTTTTAATCTGCATAATTATGTTTACAGTCTGAAATATATTACCACTTGTCATGGAGCCTGGGGGAAAGGACAACCAAAAACCTGATAGTTACATAGAAGAAAGAGAATTATAGACCCAGTTTTAATTTATCTTTTTGTTGTCTCCCAGTACTTACATAAGAGTAGAAGCTTATATTTAGCCTGAGGCTTCACTGGGTCATGTGATCTACCTGCTATGTCATTTTGTATTTCTTAAATTCACTAGCGCAAACCTTTTTTGTCTTATTTGAAATCAGATCCTATATAGTTAGTCCCTGAAAGTATTTCTTAGTAATCTGTTGTTCAGTGTGTTCCCCCTTCATCAGGCCACGGGATAGAGAGGGCAGACGTCACCATTTTTTAAGTTCCTTGACACTACTTTTCTATTAGTCCCCTCTCTGCTCCTCTTCCGACAGATTTAGCCCCTCCGGCAGTGTTGTCCCCTTGACGGAGAGACACAGAGCCCGAAGTGAGTCTCCTGGGAGAATGGACGAGCCTAAGCAGCCCAGCTCCCAGGTATGTAGTTGTGGACGTAGGATCGCTGCGGTGGCTGAAGAAATTGCCAGTGTGTGTGAACAGAATATAATGAACCAGAAAGGAACGATGCAGGAGAGGGAGCAGTGGCCCTGTTAAATAAGCACAGTATCTGATTACTTTTTTTTGGTTTGCTTGTGAGCATGCAGGAAATACATATTCAGTGTCAACAGAATTTGAGAAGTAGAAAAAGATGAGATTGTGGAGCCCTTGTCTGATTATACACCCAAACTATAGCTCTGAGAGTAGTGATAGAAAACGACCCCCAAAACTACATGCAGGTCATTTAGGGCCTAGGATGGAGCGAGTCTGATTCTGTACACGTTGGGTATAACTCTACGTATTTACTAATTTATGTAATATTACGTATTTGTAAACAAATTGCTTATGCATTTTTGTATATGTTTGCGTTTTTATATGCTTGTATTTTTTTCTTGAATCTTTTCGTAAACTAAAATGTTCTAGAAAGGGTAGGAATGGTGTCTTCTGTTTTCTTTGCAACTCTCCTTAACGAATACAGTAAGTAGTTGGTTGATATTTTTGTTTGTTTTTCCTCACAGGTCTCTATCATTGAAGACTAATTTTTTAAAAGATGGTGAACTCACCAAATAGAACATAAAACATTGTAAACACCTTTGCCCTTTAAAAGGAAACACTGGTGGATTAAGATGACATAGCTCATTTTTTTTTAACTTCTGCTGTCTTGTTTAGTTTGTTGGATATTTGAACATTGGATGTTTATTGTATGTATAATGTAGTAACATCAGCAAGATAGACTATATTTACAAACTGTATTTACTTACACATTATCATACCAATTTTTCCCTACCAGAATTGGAATCGTAACTATTACAAGAGAACTTATTAGTTTTAATAGATGTTGGAGAAAATGTTGGGAGCTTGGAGGAAAAGTAAGTTTACTCATATAATTAGGGCTCTTTTTCTCCTCATCTCTCAAATAGGGTGTGATGACCACAGGGCAGGTGACAGTTATGAAATAAATACAGCAATGAGACAGACCTTACAGCTTAATGGGGGTATAAGATGGGCTAACAAAATACACAAAATCAAGCAGATAAGACTCCAGACTTCAATGACAGTCTTGTGGCAAGAGGAGTGCTTACCAGGCCGTTAGGGACTCAGTGTCCCCTTAGGTATTATTCAGGAGAGTTTAAATGCAGTGTTTAATGAAATAGAGAACTTATACCACATATAGACGGAATAGGGATAAAAACGAATTCTACAAGGGTGTTTACCTGACCGAAACAGAAGGTACAGGCTATAAAGAACTAGAAGATAAGTAATATTTCCTGGTGACATTAAGAGATGAGTTAATATGTGTTTTAACTTATTTGAAAGTTTATTATGGTTAGTGTACTGACCAGTTTTTTTTTTCCCCGCTACAAAGAACAGCAATGGCCAGTGTGTGTGAACAGAATATAATGAACCAGAAAGGAACGATGCAGGAGAGGGAGCAGTGGCCCTGTTAAATAAGCACAGTATCTGATTACTTTTTTTTGGTTTGCTTGTGAGCATGCAGGAAATACATGTTCAGTGTCAACAGAATTTGAGAAGTAGAAAAAGATGAGATTGTGGAGCCCTTGTCTGATTATACACCCAAACTATAGCTCTGAGAGTAGTGATAGAAAACGACCCCCAAAACTACATGCAGGTCATTTAGGGCCTAGGATGGAGCGAGTCTGATTCTGTACACGTTGGGTATAACTCTACGTATTTACTAATTTATGTAATATTACGTATTTGTAAACAAATTGCTTATGCATTTTTGTATATGTTTGCGTTTTTATATGCTTGTATTTTTTTCTTGAATCTTTTCGTAAACTAAAATGTTCTAGAAAGGGTAGGAATGGTGTCTTCTGTTTTCTTTGCAACTCTCCTTAACGAATACAGTAAGTAGTTGGTTGATATTTTTGTTTGTTTTTCCTCACAGGTCTCTATCATTGAAGACTAATTTTTTAAAAGATGGTGAACTCACCAAATAGAACATAAAACATTGTAAACACCTTTGCCCTTTAAAAGGAAACACTGGTGGATTAAGATGACATAGCTCATTTTTTTTTAACTTCTGCTGTCTTGTTTAGTTTGTTGGATATTTGAACATTGGATGTTTATTGTATGTATAATGTAGTAACATCAGCAAGATAGACTATATTTACAAACTGTATTTACTTACACATTATCATACCAATTTTTCCCTACCAGAATTGGAATCGTAACTATTACAAGAGAACTTATTAGTTTTAATAGATGTTGGAGAAAATGTTGGGAGCTTGGAGGAAAAGTAAGTTTACTCATATAATTAGGGCTCTTTTTCTCCTCATCTCTCAAATAGGGTGTGATGACCACAGGGCAGGTGACAGTTATGAAATAAATACAGCAATGAGACAGACCTTACAGCTTAATGGGGGTATAAGATGGGCTAACAAAATACACAAAATCAAGCAGATAAGACTCCAGACTTCAATGACAGTCTTGTGGCAAGAGGAGTGCTTACCAGGCCGTTAGGGACTCAGTGTCCCCTTAGGTATTATTCAGGAGAGTTTAAATGCAGTGTTTAATGAAATAGTTAGAGAACTTATACCACATATAGACGGAATAGGGATAAAAACGAATTCTACAAGGGTGTTTACCTGACCGAAACAGAAGGTACAGGCTATAAAGAACTAGAAGATAAGTAATATTTCCTGGTGACATTAAGAGATGAGTTAATATGTGTTTTAACTTATTTGAAAGTTTATTATGGTTAGTGTACTGACCAGTTTTTTTTTTCCCCGCTACAAAGAACCAAAACAGGACATGGACTTAAATTACAGAACAAATTTTGATAGACCCGAAATGCTTCCTGATTTCAAGGGCAATTAAACTGGAACAGACCACTCAGGGCACTTCTCCACTCAAAAACTGTCTGTGGCTTTTTTCTCTTTCTACCATGCGAAGGTTAAATAACTTGGCCTAATGTTCCTAGTGATTGATAATCTTCCTAATCCAGCTTTTCTCACCACTTACCAGCATTCACTATCTGTCCCAAACAGGCAGACTTTCTCTGTGTGTCGGAACCACGTCAAATTTATTCGCATCTCTGCACCTTGGGTATAGGATGCCCAGTTCTTCCCAGGTGTCTGGGTCTACCTGAGGCCCAACTCCTGGTCCCATATGCCCCAACTAGCCTGGTCCTCTTTGTTCTCTCCTTGAACCACTGTAGCATTTACAGGTGGTAAATTTTTCCTAATTCTCTACTGACTCATATCAATTATGCCTTTTTTCATTTGCATTCATTCTGTGTCTCCTCCTAAGTTGAAATCTCTTTGAGAGCAAAGTACACATTTTCAATCCTGGTATCTGACATTGTCTTATCCAGTGCCCCAAAAATAGGAGTTGTTTTACCACTAAGTAATTCTGAGTACCTAAGGTTTCTTAGCTGCCCAATAAAGAGGTAACTACTAAATAAGGGATTACTTAATTGCCTCTAAAATTCCTAGTTTTGCAGATTTTTTAATTAATGAACGAAATCAGATGATTTTTGAAGTCCTTTCAATTCTTTGAGTCTCTGATTAGTGATTGAAAATTAGGAGTCTATGGCCATGCCACCTTGAACAAGCCCGATCCCATCTGATCTCGGAAGCTAAGCAGGGTCGGGCCAGGTTAGTACTTGGATGGGAGACCACCTAGGAAGACCAGGTGCTGTAGGCGTAAAAAAAAAAAAAATTAGGATGGTGAATGGCTGCAAAGCCATGCCAAAAATCTAGACTGGTATTTGTTTTGGAAAATACGGAAATCATTTATGTGGAACTTATTCATTATTTGGAGTGATTCACTTAAAAAATAGGGAACACCTACTGCATACCAGGCACTGATGAATTTCTGGGATATTCTGCGATGCAGAATGCCCTTGTGGTTACAGAGTGTACAATCTAGTAGGCAGTTGCCGGGGAATGGGGGAAAGGACTAAATGATCCGCTTCTCAGTGACAGAACCAGGAGGCAGCCATTTTCATCCTTGCTTCTTTTTACAATTTAAAGGAATATTCAGTTTCTTAGTCATACTAGCCATATTACACATGTGACTAGTAGCTGCTGTATTAGATGGTGCCACTAAATGAACATTTCCATCATCGCAGAAAGTTCTCTTGGACCAGCAGTAAATACCTACCTAATTGTCTAGATGTAATTGCAAATTAGAGTCCAAGAGGATGGTACGGGTGGGCTTAGATTCTCCTGTCGCTGTGAAATAGAACATTGATTGTTTGGGGGTGGGGGTGAGAAGCATGCAGCTTGTCAGCTGTAAAGTAACCTGACTGTCTCGTTCTGTTATGGTGATGGAATATAGCATCCTTGGATTTTTTTTTAAATATTAACGTCTTTACTTTTTGGTAGTAATTTCTTATTTGGATCTCTACTAAAAATAGTCATATAGCTTAATAACAGAGGTGAAATAGATTTGATTTTCTTTGCTATATATACTTAGTAGTATGTATTCTTTTGTGCTTGTTTCCCTCACCTGGCACAGGTAGAAGAGTCAGCGATGATGGGAGTAAGTGGCTATGTGGAGTATCTCCGGGAGCAGGAGGTGTCTGAGCGGTGGTTCCGGTACAACCCCCGTCTCACCTGCATCTACTGTGCCAAATCCTTCAACCAGAAGGGGAGCCTGGACCGGCACATGCGCCTGCACATGGGCATCACGCCGTTCGTGTGCCGCATGTGTGGCAAGAAGTACACGCGGAAAGATCAGCTGGAGTACCACATCCGCAAGCATACGGGCAACAAGCCCTTTCACTGTCACGTTTGCGGCAAAAGTTTTCCCTTCCAGGCCATCCTGAACCAGCACTTTCGCAAAAACCACCCTGGCTGTATACCCCTGGAGGGGCCACACAGCATCTCCCCTGAAACAACTGTCACATCTCGAGGACAAGTCGAGGAAGAGTCACCTTCACAAGAAGAGACAGTTGCTCCTGGGGAAACCGCCCAGGGCTCTGTGTCCACCACTGGGCCAGACTGAAACATCGAGGGGGAGAGGGCAGACCCTCTTCCCCTTTGGGCCGTAAGCAGCCAGCATCAGGGCCGTGGGCTGG